TATGGTGCACAGAAGAGCGACTTGCCTTTTTTCAAATATACAGTAGCCTAATGTAAAACTAGACTTCTGTAGTTTGTCAACTACATGAGAGAAGAGAGGAGGCATCGTGCGTTATACCCGAGGGCGTTGATCGTGGACAAGTCGGGGAACTGCATTCAAGCCAAGTTAAATGGAACATACAGTACTCTTCGCAGTGGGATGTATGGCTTCAAACAAATATCCTTGTGATGTGCTGCCATCTTTACTTTCTTCTCTTTTTCACGCTTGTCTTTATGTTTGGGTCAGGCTAATGTTGTAAATTGAGTGGTTTTGTGGAGGGACAAAGCGAGAGCCTGTGCAGCTTCAACTGTCAATCTCTGCGAGGTAACCTGCCAAGAGATGCGTAAAGGCGCACAACCACAGAATGTGAGGGTCGAAGTGTTTGCAAATGCTATGCTAATAACAAGGTTTTTCAGGTGCAAGCTTTGCTTCGCATCCTTTGATCATGGGTCGTTGGGGTTTAATGCTGAGCTGTGACGCAGTGATATCAATATTTCTTTGCGTGGAGACCAAAGAGGCGCAGTCCAGAGGAGGAATGTGGCCGCGCGCATTATTGCTGGTGTAGGCTATAAATCGGCTGATGTGTCTACAAGAGTGTGTGCGTGTGGTCGCGTGACTGTACTGCAAAATCCTCTTTAGATTTGTATATATGTGTATGTGCGTGTATGCATACCCGAGCGCGCGCGCGCGGAAACGGGAGCTGTACCTAAATCGCAGTCATGCAGTCAGTCCTGCATCCTCCTTGGCGGCACATGCTGGCGGGTTGAGCGCGTAGAAGTCAGACAGGGTTAGAAGCTGCTGGCTTGGTTTAATTCTGCCTCCATCAGCAGGGTGAGAAGGAGACGTCTTCAAGGGTTATCACTCTGCGTGTTCACAGCGGACCTTGATTTAATGTCCATACAATTAAGGCACGCGGTGAATGCCAAGAGAGGAATCTACACAGCATCGTGCTTCACATTTTGTCTCTTCCTTGTTGCTTTGTTAGTATCAGGCCGCAGGCTTCAGTTTACTTTGACCCTTAACGTTACACAAGCAGGGCCTGGCTGCCAACCATAGCAGCAGGGTAAGGCTGACTGCTGTACTGTCACTCAACTGTGCGTCAGTGTGCGCGTGCGCACGGTCAAGCATGTGAACGCTGTTTGTATGTGTGTGTGTGTGTTGCTTTGGCTGTATGGGCGCAATGCCTACTCATTTTTATTATGAAATTAGGTTACTTCCCGTTAAACTCAACGCCACATATTTAGTAGAAAAATGGTTTAAAATGTCTGTTACCTACGTTAAAAAAGTAAAATGCCAAACGTAACCTAGAAAACGACGCAAGACCACGAAAACAACTGGACTTTCACCAACCGAGGTCAACGGCCTACCTCAGGGGTTTTACAGAAATATCCTCGGGTGTCGTTTACATTCATGCCAGGTTATTCTTTCCTATAACCTTCTCCTTAGGTCCTGGCTAAAGGCTTGCTCCATTTGCAAGTGCGCCATTTTCATATCTTCGGAGTAAAAACAGTTTACCGTCATGCATAAGGTCAGTCATTTTAAAACTGGGAGAGCTGACATAAACATAAAAATAACCAATATTTACACGCACCGCCTATAAATCCTGCAGAGCCAAAGGGTGTGCGTCTGATAACGGAAACATCGACCACCTTCGGCGCATTAATGTTAAATCCTTACCTTTAGGAAACTGTGCATTATGTCTTTCATGGTCTGTTAAAGGCCAACACCAAGGCTCCGTTAGCTACAGTCTGAGCTTCAGTTGACACTGATGTATGATAAATTATTTCATATGCTAAAATAGGCCAAGACCTCCAGACCAAGTCATCTCCACAGTGTGAACCTCCAACCTCAGGCCGAGGAACCCTGACAGCCACTAACAGTCGGTGGCTTAATGTCAGTGAGTTCAGTCGGACTGAGTCAACATAAATAATATAGCTCCAAATGTGTACATATGTATACAATGTTTTTGAATACCGCCTCTGCTCCTTCTCCCACGCTTCCCCCACTTTTGATTGCACTGTTATATTGTCTGTTGCCTAAAACACACCGATAGCCTCTGTGCCGGAGACAGACTCCTTGTATGCTCAACATACCTGGCGATTAAAGCCGATGCTGAGTCTGATAAGCGAGTCAACGCCACCTACTGGCGTCCACATGACAACGCATCGTTGAAACTGTCGCTTCGTAGAGACAAGACTAAGATCATCTTTGTACTGTTTATAGTTTCTACTGAAGCAGAACTTGACATTTATAGTCTTTTGAACCCCACTGAACAGGCCCATAACAAATTCTTACAGGACAGCTAATTTGAGCTCAGATAAATACAGTTTTAACAACACATTCAAGGTCTCCAACACATATTTTTGAAGGGACATTACCTTTAGTATGAATCAATTCATGAACCACATAGGATCAAATTGACCACAAAGAGGAGAAATTGGTCAAAGCTGTATTTTCTTTCTTTTGCATTATGTCTATCACAGATTCAGTATTGGTAAACTGAGAATAATTCAGGTTCTTGCATTACTGTATTTATATAGAAGACATTGTACTTTGATGCAATATATTTAAATATAGAGGAAAAAAAACCTAAACATGTTTCTATTCAATCAATAATTTGCATATTAGGCCAAAACTTCACTAGGATCTTATTAATGCTACATGCAGATACGCCGAGCGTCAGGCCGATACATCGAGTCCATGGAGCAGAGGACCTGAATGTGGTATTATTTGCTTATGTCTCGTTTGGATGGATGCTTTGTGAAGTAACAACAAATAAAGCCTGAGCTGCACTGAGTCTTCTGCTTGTTCTTGTGATTATTTTATAAGCGATTGTACATGGTGGGCTTGCCATTTTAGCAGCATTTACAAAACTACATCTGACCTAAACTATTTTTTGAAATGGAGACTTGAAAACGTCCTCTCATGAAATTTTAACAATCTTGTGAGAGACGTATATATATATATATAGAAAAGAACAGCGGATTTGAAGATGAATTCTTCTGTGAGCGTAAAACTGCTTGTGCAGCATAAAATGCTATTAACATTTGACAATCATATATATCTAAACTGCAAGAAAATCTCCATCTCCATTTTTTTTATAAGACCACTAAAGTGTTTTAGTTGCAGATAATGTCCTTTACTTCATTTTGTGACTGGAACATTCCAACAGCACTTCCCCCAAATCATGAAATCAGCACCATGGAGAGCTCCTGCCAAGAAAGAACAAAAAGATTTTTTGATGACTGTGGAACAAACATATTTTTATGCAATTTAACATGTTCAGTTCCTACAAGAGGACATGCACAACTAATCTAAAGAACTGGACTATCAAAAAACCTTTTTGATAAACATGCAGGGTACATGGATTTACACCAAAGGTTTCTGATTTGAAATTGTCAAGGTTAAATTAGCCACTAAAAGGTCCAATTTCTTCTACTTTATACATTTTGGATACCATCATCATTTATCTCGGGGAACAGCACTCCCATGTGTGTTCATTCTGTTGTAGACCGCTTCGGCCTGGTGACACAGAGGCCCGCTTTGACAACTGTATTTACAGGTAAGGTACAGTCAACTGTAGGAGCATGATCAAAATAGCAACAGGAAGAAACAATTCCAGATAAGAAACCCTTTGAGTGACATTTAAGCACCGGGGCTGCACTACAGAGCTTGTTCTCTTTGTATAAGGTGGCTATTTGCCTCCTAGAGAATTCACGAGATCAACACAGTAATTTCTGAATGGACATTTTATTAAGGCTTGATTTCTTCTATAAAGAAAAACCAAGGTAGATATTTTGAACACATTATTATGCCCACTACAAATCTGGTCTATAAAGTAATCAACGTTTAATATTTCATGTCATTAATTCCTTTGTAGTGTTAATACATATACTTCCATGACTAACCTGACACCATTCTATTGCAGCATGTATCTTCTGATAGTGAAACCTAATGTGCATGTAAGCCCTGTATTATAACTGCAACCACCTCATGTGGCAAAGACAGCTGTACTGTGACATCGGTGGCATCCTTTAGTGTCTCCCCCCTCACCAAGCCTATGCTGGTTGGAGAGCGCAGTGTTTGTCAAGGCAAATGTGAAGGGAGATCACAGTATTGCTTGGATCAACCTAGATGTTGATTAGTGCAGGTTAAAAGGAGAAGAGATGGAGAGGAAAAGATCCTGACAAAGGTCAGTTCTCTAGATTACAGTTCGGGGGGGGGATACACTGGTTTGATAAAAATACAGTGCAGTTTCTCGTATCTGGAAATACGGCTGTGAAACATAAGTTTCATATTGACACTCGAGTGACTTCTCACCATCTCACCATCGCAACTTGATAAAGTTCTGACAGAGTCAAGGTTTATCAAGGTTTATATATGGTCTAACAATCTGAAGAAGAGGCCGTGTTACCTAAACAGGTGCAGCTTTCATTATTATTGGTTTCCAATTCAAATACTTCACACAGAAAACAGTGAATTAGGATCTGAATGATTTAGTTAGCAAGAAGCTAAATTAGAATTAACATAAAGGATGCCAAAAAGAGAAAAGATCCCTAAACATCAGAGGCAGCCAAGTCTGTTAGCAGCATTCCTCTCTGTAGCATGGTGGCCTTTGCAATCTGCAAAATACTGAAGTGGCAATGTCAAACTAATCAAGAGGACAGATGCTGCCAATCTCAAACAAACATTAACAAATAAACTGCATTCTGGCTTTCAATGCTCTGAAATAAGAACTGGGGGACAGTGTTCTTTAAAGGACTAAACATCACCACTTACACTTCATAGACAAGCTGTATGATGAATAACAGTTTTAACATAGCAGCTTGCCATGCATGGCATTAACCTCCATTACCGACTTTATCCGATTTTTCCCCCATTAACATAACATGAAAGTACTTTACCGTATTGTTAGTCTAGTATTTTTTGGAACAACAACCAAAAAACACACAGAAACCACATTTCATTCTTAATTTTTCTTAGTCAATAGTAAACCAGTTACATTAATGTTTAGGTTATACATTTTAGGCTTTCTCCATGAATATATAGGCTCCTACGTTAAAGCTTAGCATTACGACCAACATGATAGACTGAGCAAAACCAAATTCAAGGAAAAACAAAAACAGAGGATTAAGACAAAATTATGGTGAATGGACAAATCAGTGAAACCTCCCTCCATTTTGTGGAACGAGAATGCAAAAGCAACAATCAATCCAATGTTGCAGAATTACATAGTTCTGATGTTAAAAATTTAAAATGGTGGATGCGACAGTTCTCTCAGACTGGGTTGTGCACACAAGCAGAATCTCTTGATGAGACATACAAAATACCCCTTCAAGACAAACATTAAAAGAAAGCAAAGCAGAGGGGTGTGATGGATGTCAATAGTACAATTTTTGATTTAAATGGTGAGAGTTCTGGTTGTGGAGGACACATCCATTATTTTATTTCCAGAGGCCTTTGCAATTCCTCCTCCGAAATGTCTCGAGTCCTGTGTGACTTCACACTATCCCTGATTTCTCCAGCAGTGTCACTGTTTGAGCAGTTCTTTTGAAAAGTCACCAATAATTTAAAAAAAAAAACATTAAGGCTCCAGAATACAGGATTCTGAAATGAAAATTGTCAGTAGTCAGCCAAAAAATAGAGATTTTGTTGATCTGAATGAAAAATAGATAAACCATTGAAGTTTATTATCGCACAGTTCCAAGTCCAACATTGCCTTTGGGATCCTCCAACCCTGTTGGTACAGTTAAAACTCTGAAGCATGGCAATGTTGCCCCCAAATGGACAAACAGGGGCAGGACACAACCGTTCCTGATTGTACTGAAATATAAAGTGGCAGATTTTTTTCTCCGTGGTGCAGTCAAACCCTGATTCAGTTGGAAAGAGAGGAGGGTGGGAGCAGGGGAGAGAAAACCAGTCTGGTGAGAGAAGAGTACGACATGGAACGGGAAGAAAAAAGAAATGTATATATATTTAAAAAAAACAAAAACAACTAAAAAGTGTGGTGGTGGCTAGGTAACACATTAAAACAACTGGTATCCCTGCACAAGAAGTGGGTGGTACATGGGACCAAAAGAAGCACAAGTCTCAGCAATGGCAGAGATTCACCAGGATTAAATAGGGGGGAAATGAAGGGCTTGGTTGCATTTTCATATCTTCTGTCTCTTAAATCAAAAGTCCTAGTGTAACTGTTGATCAAGCCAAGGATAAATGTCTTCTACTGTTTATTCCTGTTCTGGCGCTCCTGTTTGGGGAAAAAACAAAATATAAATTACAGAACAGCACAGTAAATTGCTGTACTGCGGTGACCAAATAATAGATTATCTAAAAACTCACCTTCACTGTGTGCACAATATAGACAATTTCAATCATCAGTGACAGTCAAAAAGAACCCTAAATACTCCTCAGGCTGACAATGAAAACAGGACAGTTCTTACCTGATCCAACCGAGAGCAGTTCTGCATCTGAGCAGGTTCAAAAGTCTGTCAAAAGGAGCAAGTAAGAGGAAACAAACACAAACAATTACTCTCTTACAAATCAGACACAAATCAAAATCTGTCAAGTGATCAATAAAAGTAACATCTACATAGGTAAGGTGAGCATAGATCCCCTGTTTTCTAGTAAAAGGTACCAAGCACAGCTATGCTGTATTTAAAGACAAGAAAAACAGCATGGACTTGGCCTGATATCTTATATGCGGTGTGAGCAGTCCCAAGCGCCCAATTTATCACCCAAACATTCAACAATCTGCTCCTCTATGATCAGATGCATTTCTGGCATGTCAGGAATTTTGGGCAGCTTTGTTGCAGTGTGAGCAGGTCCATGGTTCAATTACACACACAAAGGCAACAACATAACAACATGGCACAGGCAAAATATCTCATTTTGTGGACAGAATCACCTGAGACAAGGCTGATCAAGCTCTGGCAAAAACACACCATTATGTATCATCAGAACAATATAATGACTGAAGGCAATGGGGAAAATACTGGCAGGAGATTAAGACTCTACTTCAGCTGTACAAAGTAAAATTGCTAAACGAAATGCTGATTTTTTTTTTCTTAGTTGACACCAGCTTTGAGGCGGCGCTCATCTTGTTTGAACAAATACCCAAGTGGAATTGTTAATGAACACATCTGTACAGTGTAGGCAGAAAAGTCACGGATTCAGGTCATGTGGGAAGGATAATTAAAATGTATAGTGCAAGTTAACACATTGTACACAAACAAAAAAAATTACACAGTGTCTGCCTGGCTTACGGTTAACACAGTGCCATGACTATACTCACCTTGCGCACCTCCTCCTCTTCTTCCTGCCTCTTCTCGTAATGGGAGAAGTCATCAAAGATGGAGGTGGTGTGCTTGTATGTGGCGATGATCTTGAGCACCTGTTTGGCCTTCTCCAGAGGAACCTCCTGGGTGTCACGGGAGTTGGTCACTGGCTTGTTGTCGTTGTTCTCAAGGCGGATATGGCGTAGCTGGCTATTAGGCACGTCCTTAACAAACAGCCAGTCCACGTCAAACTTGCCCTTCCATTTGTCCTGTGCCCATACTCCAGCACTGGTGCCATAGTCCACTGGTGAACGCATCTCTGCCACACCGCAGAAATGACCACTACCATTGACACTGAACAGCAGGTACACAGGACCTTTACCATTCATGGCCCGGAATGCGGAGTCCAGCCGCTTGTTGCCATGCTCCGTGCTGCACCAGATGGAGTACTTGATGGAGCGATGGATATCATCCTCAGAGTAGCTCTTGATGATAAAAACTCGACCATTCTTCAGGTTCCATTCAAAATCCTTGGGATTGTAGCTGTGGGAGGCACGCAGCTTCTCCAGCACTGGGTGGGACTCTCCACCAGGTCCCTGATTAGCAGAAGTCTGGGGGCCACTGTTTCCACTACCAACCATACCCACTACGCCACTACCATCTTGGCCTGGACCTCCCTGCCCATAGCCTTGGTTACGGTTACGTGGGGCAACCCAACGGGTCTGGGGTTGTGGGGGCTGGGTATGGTTTTGATAGGGAGGAGGTGGTGGTTGATGGTGCTGGTGATGGGGTGGCTGGGGCTGTAAGGCCATAGGTTGCATCTGGGGCTGCACCAAAGACTGGGGAGGGGGGGGCTGCATGGGGGCTTGAGGCGGCATGGCATGAGGCAGGCCAAGAGGATGCTGCTGTTGCTGCAGTGGAGCTGAGGCTACTTTAGTCACTGGGCCCTTGTCCCAGGTCCCAATGTTCATGTTGTGTTTAATGGGTGGCGGAGGCAGAGCTCCCCCTGGATTGAGCATTCCTGGCTTCACCTTAGTTTTCAGCAGCTGTGGTTTGGTGGGCTTGCTGGCAATGGCTGCCCAGGAGGTGGGTTTGGGTGGGGGCATGCCAATAGGAGTGGCTCCCATTTCTCGTGGCGCGCGCCCCAGGACACCCACACCAATCACAGATCCCACAGCCTTGACTCCTGACCCCTGGCCAGTGACATCCCCTCCGATCTTCAAGCCAACCATACCCTGCTCCAAGCTGTTCATACCAGGGGCTTTGTTCAGGGTGTCATTGTGAAAGCCCGTTTGACCATCAGCCACCAGGGTGCCCCCTAGGGAGCTAGGAGGGTAGCTGTAGCTGCCACCATAGGCTGAACTCTGAGTCTGCTGCCCCTGCGAGCCACTTGTGCCCCAAGCAGAGAAGGCAGGGTTTTCAGGGAAAAAGTTAAACCTGTGGGGGTAGATGCTGCTTCCCAGACCCCCTGGCTGGCCAAACACGGTGTCCGGCATGAAGTGATGGTCTCCATTACTCAAGGGTCCATATGGGGTGAGGTATGGAATAGGAGGATCCCCACCTGTAGACCAGGGAGCCTCACTAAGGGGGTACGGAAATCCAATGGAAGGGGCATAGTAGCTGGACAGGTAGGGGTCGGTGATGGACTGGTAGCTGTTGTTCTGAATGAATGAAAGTTAGCAGAGCTACAATTAGCCACTAGCAAGTGACTTGTAGTTCAACAATAAAATTACTCTATCAATTACAAAAATATCCCTACTAATTCTACTTTACATGACATACATTTTTAAAGTAATTTTTGAATGACACTTATCATGTGTGATTAACTTCATTTGTATCTACTGTGAAACTGGGCAATAATTTACTTTTCCTTAATGCCCTTAATAGAATTCTGCTGAAATGACCATATCATCCATAATGTATTGACATTTGTCAATTACCTACAATTTTCTTAACAATTAAAAAAAATGGAGATTAAGCTTTACCTGAGTAGACTGACCAGTGAGGTAAGGCTCAAAGTCATTGTCATGGACAGTCTCCTTCTGATGCAGTGAACCATTTTGCACTACAACAAAATAAAATGACATTAATGAACTCTCTTTTTGACAGTGTTCTGTTTCTAAGAGAGAGCAACAGTAGCTTTTGTTATCAAGTTGTACTGAGTTTTGAATACAGAGCACAATACATCTAAGGATAAACCTATGATTATGTAGTACAACTGAAATATTTTACTGACAAATTCATGCTGTGACTAATTCAACTGGTTTATGGTTGCAATAGTAGCATATTAAAGAATGCTGATCCATCAAATCACAATTCTACTAGTCAAATCTGACTATTGCATGAGGTCTTCCCAAAAAAAACAAAAACAAAAAAAAACAATCTAAAACAATCAAAACTCAGTGAGCCATGTCAGACTGCCCTGCGGCCCTAAACACAGTCATATCCTCGAGGTGAATCAGCATGTGGCCTGCTGCCAGCCAGACCTGCTGGTGCAGAGTGAGTGAAGACCTGCTTGCCACTCCAACTCATCCAAAAACTGCAGAAAACCAAAGATAACTAGAACATCATTAAAAACTGTTTTAATTATAATGCCATAACAACACAGTCACCAATATAGGGACAGTGCAGATGAACCGACAACAACAAACTTCCAGTAAGTCATTCTGTACAACTGGTTGGTGGAGGTGCTGAGAGAGGAGAGACTGGAACAACCCCCAGAAATTCCACCTGGGGATAAAGATTTATGGTCCTCACCAAATCTTTCTCCATACCTGAAGTCATTAATGGTGGCTAAAAATGTATTTGGCAACTATTCAAATAATCGATTACTTATTTCTAAAGCTAAAATAATAAAAAACTGCTTGTTCTTGCTAAAGTAAAGTCACTTTCTGCTTTTCCCGTTTAGGGGTCGCCACAGCGAATCGTCACACTGACGACTCGCGTGTTGACATTTGGCACATGTTTTACGCCAGATGCCCTTCCTGACACAACCCTGATTTGAACCCGGGGCGCCGCGGCGAGAGCGCTGCGCCTTAACCACTAGCCTACCTGGGTCAACTGCTTGTTCTTGCTATATTTACTAATATTCCTGCACCTAAAATTTTCTGGACTGTTGATAGAAAAAAAGCCCTTTTCAGACATGAGACTAGAACTCTGAAATTATCTAGACATTACCCAGGGGAGCTGTGTAAGGTCTGAGTAAGCTGGAGTGATCCCATGTGAGAAAACAGTATTGTATACTCCAGAGTATTCACACAGAGCTAGTGGGTGTGCTAATGATGTTCTATCATGTGACCATTGTCAAACCAGAAGAAAACAAACATCTGATGATGAAGAAAACTGTCACCAATGACAACACCAACAAAAATATCCTGCTGCAGACACAATGAGATTCAGGAACTTCTGTCATTAAGAGCCAGCGCCAGAATCGTCAGACAAGGCAAGAGACTAAGTTGTTTATGACCAAATTACAAACTGGCTACGTGACCATGTCATGTCCCGCCTCCTGCATGCTCTACACAGGAATCCCCCCTCGGATAAACCAAATGGAGTATTTCCAGTAGGTGAGAACATGTCTGACACGGACTGTCTCCTGTTGTGTGTTACAAATCTTGCCCTTGCACACACCAATAGCAAGGGCAAATCTTGCCCTTGCACACACCAATAGTCCAGGCCCTATTCCACAGACACACTCCAGAGTTCATGTGTGAAAATGGCTAAAGACTTTCAAAGATGACACCATAATGTCCTGTATACTGTAATGGGCTTTTTTTTTTAAACCATTTCTGACACTTTACAGACCAAACACAAATGGATCAATCAAAAAAATCATTTGCAGATTAATCAACAATGAAAATAAACATAAGCTGGAGCCCTATGGCAGCTACAATGGGTTCAAGATGCATTGTGTTGACCAAAGCATCAAAAAGACAATTATGACCAAAGGACACCGTCTTTAGAGAAGCTGCTTGCCACTAACTTGGACAGGAGAACCTGGATCCCCCGCTCACAGGGACGAACCTAGGAGCAGGAGGAAACTGCCTAATGTACACAAACCAACATACAGTGTGTGGTTTGACACAGAACCAGCGTATTTATCCAAATTACAGAATATGACTGGCACATCCTTAGAAAGCAGAAGGGCAGTAGCAAAGTAGCCTATGTGGCATACATGGTTTGCTTCCATTCTCTATGAAATAGCAATTACACATATTTTAAAGACATATTTAAGGCTACAGAGTAGAGTGTGCCATACACATTCTGATTTATATGGAGTATTACTATACAAATGCCATAGAGACTACACCAGTTTTGCACAGGGAAATCTTTGCATAAGCATCATGAACTTCTTCTTACTACTACTACTGATTAACAAAAAATAACCTATGTTCCACCACAAGCCACACTGTGTCTCTGAAATTCATTTGTTTCCCTTTTGATGAACTTGTGGAAATTCTACTCCAATATATCTCACAATATGTGCAACTACACACAATTTACCACTTCTGGCCCAGCTCTGTATTGTTTATACTCAATATTCATATTGAAATTTGATGGACATAATCATCATCCAATCAGTCAAAATAATTAAGGACAAGATATATTTTTCTAAGCATGGCTAGTTTTATGTCAAAGTAATGTATAACTTACCTCCCAAAGCCACAGTACAATATTCAATTTGTAGGCTTTGTTCACATTTTGTGGAGGGCCATCTTACTGTACAACAATACACAAAATATGGTGTCATCTGATAGCAAAATACGTCAGTGCATGGAAGGGTGATGCATGTAATGTTGATTTAGTTGGAAAAAACTGGCGCAGTCTAGATGTCCAAACAAATGACTGATCCAGTCCTCTCTGTTGCAGCAACTCACCTTTAGATGCTTGTCCTTTTGATCTCTGCATCCAGGTTAGATCGTGAAAAGAGAAAAGAAAAGGGGAGACAGTTACTATTGGTTGGTTTGAGATTTCACACACTGATCGGGACTGAATACACCTCAGGTGTTATCTATTAAGCTCTAAGAAGCTGAACGTAAGACTACTTCCTGAAGAGAGGCAATGCAAAGGATTTACGTAAAGTTACTCTACAGTGAAAGCCGTACATACACACAGTTGGCTATAGCGTTACACGTCTCTCACATTTTGCTGTGTATTACACAATTTGGAGTTCCACTTGTTTCACGTTAGTAGTAATTCACACAACTTTGCTAACTAACGTAGCCCCCTTTAAATGGCTTTCCAAACGTCAATAGCGTGAATGTAGCTTGTAACTTAGTTTGCCATTACAGGCTGCAAACATCTGGGGCATCCCAGACATCTTGCGGGTAGCTATTTGTGACCCTTTCCATTAAAAGTTATGATTCACTGAATAAGTTAGCTAGCTTGAGCCTCTAAGTAACTCTTTTAGCGTTAGCTTTAGGGTTCATGTATTCTCAGCCATAGGTAGTGAGTTTTTAATGCTACATTTGCGATACAGGCATGTTTTCAGTTAAATGTGCATTTGACAGCGATCTGCATACTAATATGCAAGTGTCATCGTTTAGAAGTGTCAAATAAAACATTTAACCGTTTCACGGATGTAGCTAATTTGTTAGCTACATGCACCGGTCAGCGCTTGCGGCTAGCTAGCGCTTCCGAGGAATAGCCATATCCCAATAAATCGTTATCGTTAGCAGGTAGCTAACGTGTAGCTCACAAGGTCTCTACAGGCGAGGTACATCGTCCTTCCTACCTGAGGGTCAATGCTTGTGGCAGACATAATTCATTAAGCACGTCCCTGAATTCTCACTGCGCCTGAGTTTGTGACTGGATTTCAAGCCCCGTGATTTTCAAGCAAGTCCACAGCTCAGTTAGTTAGCTATGTGGCTGGTAGTGCCGCTTAGCGTGTGGCTAGCAGTTGCAGCGCAGGCTCAGCTGTATGTTTTCCGCTGTATGCACGTATCCAAACTTCCACAGTTCAAGTCTGTCGCCTCGGATATTGTATCCGAAAGCAGTCAAGTCGTGGCACAGGTTTTCAAGTTGATGTAATGTGTCGACAAATTGACCCTTCGGATCTTAAATATTTCTATCCTCGATCGCCTTTACTTGTGTCTTTTTTTTTTATTCCAGGGAGGGAGGGAGAGAGAGAGCCCTCCTCAGTTATGTTAAAGCCCTGCACACTTCCCCAATGGCTGCTCCATCCGGGCTTTGAGCCGCCGCTGCAATTCTCGTCATTCCCCGCGGGGTGGCAAAAAGTTTGGAGCGTCATTTCCCTTGATTTAAGTGACTGTTAGAATTGGATTTCAGGAGTTGCAGTTGTTTTATTTACTGTTAGTATTATTTTGCTTTATAATGATAAAGTTTAGTATGACTGTTTGTGTTTTATTAACAGCACCACGTATCAGTATTAACCTGGCTCTTATACATGCATAATAGTTATAATTTTCAGCTGCAGCAGCTGCAGTTCAACTTGTAGTGTTTCTTATTTTCTTGGATAATTGTGCAAGAGTAGATTGCATAGATAAGTGTCCTGGCAACCAAAGATAAGAAACTGTTAATTTATGCTATTTTACAGACGTGGAAGTCTGACAGCTTGAACCTTTCACCCATGTCTGAAGTATGTGTAAGGGTTTTTTACCACAGAATTAGGGAAGTAAGTGACACAGCTAACTGCATGTCCATCTTCAGTTAGAAAGAAACGCCTGAAAATAGAAGATAACAACACACACACATACTGCCTATATGAACATTCTAGAATATTGATGTGTAACGTACCACCCATGTACAGGGCAGTCCCAGCCCGAGAAGATAAATGTAAACATTTTGTGATAATCGAGGCTCTTGGAGACTTATCATCTCTCAGAGCCCAGCGCTGTAATAACTCTGCATTTAACCAGAAGAAAATAAATCTACTTGAAGCTGATTCCTGTATCCTGAGTGTTACTTCTTGGGGCCTTCAGACAAAAGAACCAGGTTAGAATTAAAATGACTATGGTTAATACAACGAATAACTAACGACTCCAACTCATAAACACCGATACTCTGATACCTAGGTTAAAAGGCCTATCTATTTTACTTGAACTGATACTGGTGCTATATTATGTGCGCTCTGAAGCCATAAAACATGGTGCGGGGAGGGGGAATATCAGCAGACTGGGGGTGGTTTTCTGCAGGGCCCCTTGGATCTGACAGTTTAGTTCAGCACAGTGCTAATGTGAGGCTTTCTGAAATGTAAAAAGAGGACACCAGACCACAGTAAACGTATGTCACCCTGCATCTTGCCTTTGTGGCAAGGGACCTCATAAACTATAGACAGAAATATGAACTGCTTTGTAATGGGTTTAAAAATGTCAGTGTCAGGTCTTTGTGTGGTACATAGGAGGTTGAAACCTATAACTATATAACAACAGTTTATTTAACAGGACCTAGTAAGATTCTTACCTGCTATAAATTACAGTAGTCATTACAGTTTAGGGGCTTGTAAATGCATCATTGCTACCCCCTAGTGGTGAAAGATAGTAATAGCTACTGTAATTTGTAGCAAGTAAGATACTGGTTGTGTTAAATATGCCAAAAATTAAATTTATAACTTATATCATTTAGCCTATATGTGAACATTAAAGGCTACAACACAACACAGCAACACAGTATTTATTATATTATTATAAAGAAATAAACAAATAGTTTTATGTTATTTTGTTGTAAGCTTGATGTGACTGTCTATTCTTAGTGCTATGTTTAAATAACTCTGTAGTAAACCTTTAATAGTCAAACTATTTTTTACGCAATAGTGTGCTTCTAAAAAGGTTTACATGGCCAACCTTTTTCCAGGAGGCAGAGCAACACGGCATGTTCAGGCTGTCATTCATTCAAGCATCAATGAGCAGACTTTCTGGCATTTCTCTTTCTCTCTTTCCGGCTCTTCTGGAAAGTAGTCTCCTGCAGGCCACTGTGCATGCCCCAACAGCTGAGCATATTATTTCAGTTGGTGCGCTGCTCTCACCTTCAGTGCATGTTCCGCTATGGACTGCAAAAGGGATGACTGGCACAGAACAGAAAGAGAAAGGAGAACCTACATTCCGCAGAATGACGGATGACAGGAGAACTATGCTGCACATCCTTGAAGAGCCTCAGATGCAAAGAGAAGAGGAGAGACTTCAGACTTTTCAGAACTGGCCAACAGATGCACCTGTCACATCTGGAGAGTTGGCCAAAGCAGGCTTCTTCTTTCTAGGCCCCGGTGATAAAGTCCAGTGTTTCTGCTGCAGAGGGATTTTAAGATGTTGGGTGCATGGAGACAGCCCAGCAGCTGAGCACAAGAGACATTTCCCTACTTGTAGGTTCATACTTGGTCAAACTGTGAGGAATATTCCTCTCCAAGCTGGATCCTCAGACTCTGTGGATGGCCAGCTGTTAAGCCAGCTCCAGAGAATGACTATGGATGAACAGGAGACAGTTGGACAAGCGGCATACCCAGAGATGGAGGTGGAGGATTCCCGGCTTGCCACTTTCCACAGTTGGCCCACTGAGGCCTCAATCCAGCCAGATGTTCTTGCCAGAGCAGGATTTTTCTACACAGGTGCTCACTGTCTCACTTTAAACCCTAAAACCATTCATATCATCTCCTTTCTTTTATAGTTTATGAGCAAAATTTCAGTACACATGCGTATATTTCAGTGAAATACTCAATACCCTGGCCAGTGCCTTTCTGTGCAGAGTTTGCATGTTCTCCCTGTGCTTTCTTGGGTTCTCTCCGGGTACCCTGGCTTCCTCCCACAGTCCAAAGACATGCAGCTTTGGTTGATTGGTGTCTCTAAATTGCGACTGAATTGCCTGTAGGAGTGTGTGTGGTTGTCTTTCTCTACGTTTTAGCCCTGTCATAGACTGGCAACCTGTCCAGGGTGTACCCCACCTATCGCCAAGGGTCAGCTGGGATTGGCTCCAGCACCCCAGTGACCCTCTGCAGGATAAGCAGTATAGATAATGGATGGATGGGTGGACTCAGCACGGAGCCCAGTCACTGCTAGAGTGACCTCTCTTTGTGAGCAAGTTCATAGTACAATTGTCCTGAGGGTGTTGTGGACAGAACAACCTGGACAAAGCTGGAGGTGTTAAAAAATATGGACACAATATCATGAAAACCTATACAAACAAATGTGATCAGATAAAGTAACCCTACCATGTAGTTAATCATCTAAGTTTTGTTCTCACTGCGAGAGTAGATTCATCTTTGTTTAAATTTTTACAGATTCTAGTTTCTGCATATTGATTCCCTGTAATCAGCCCTTTTTTTTTATTTTAAAGAGATTTTCTGTGTCCAGTCTGGGTCATTAGCCTTTTCTCACAGCAGGCTTGTTCATCCTGACAGGTCATGGTGACAATGTCAAATGCTTCTACTGTGATGGAGGACTGCAAAACTGGGAGCCAGGGGATGACCCCTGGCAGGAACATGCCAAGTGGTTTCCACGGTAACAACAGGACTAGTCACAGGCCAATATAAAGACACAGGTTTAATACATAAGTTGCCTATTTTTTGCACTGGCAAACTTATTTTATAATACACAATGAATGTGTTGTTTTGTTTTAGCAGATTAACAAATACTGTATCAAACACTGTATTTATGTTTCTCAGGTGTGAGTTTTTAATCCAGTCAAGAGGGCAGGATTATATCAGCAACATACGGGATACTCACTTCCATCTGGGTGAGACTATGGTGAGAACCTTTATCTTATCTGCCCAGGATAAAGTCTGTGTGTGCTGCACTGCAGACAAAACATTATTAAATTACAGTCTTCTATTGCTGCCTCAAAATCATTCATAACTTTCATTGCATATTACCACTTTTCTAGGGCGGATCACAGACCTCCACAGGCAGAGATGTTGGCTCCAGAAGTGGTGAGTCCAAAGGAAAAGTGTCAATATCTGCTTTTGCTAGTTATAACAGCTTGGGTTGCACAAGCACTGTTTAAAATCTCAAATTAGAGACTGCACAGACTCATCTTGGAAGAAAGCAGGTCCATTACTTTTCTTTACAGTGCTGTTGAAAATGTAATAACTGGGTGTTCAATTATCTGAGCTAATGTTTGCTCTAGGATTGCGGTAATTAGGCAGTGCTATAGAAACCATGACTGTTGCTCATGGCTGCAGGGCAGTCATGAGAAGGTAATTATTCCATACAATGAAGGAATCACAATAAAATCCATTTCAGCAGATATACAGAAGAGGTCTGTGGTTTGAAACATATTAACAAAGGTAAGCTGCACAACTGAATAATTTATCATCCCATTTATGTAGTAGATTGAATAGTGTGTGGTACTCAGCCTAGTGTAAAAACTGAACTTCCAGTGATGGTCACCTGACTGCTTCTCTTTGCTTCCTCACTTGTCCTCTTTCTCTCATCTCACAGATATGGTTGGAGGTCTGGGAGCTTCCCCAGCCATGCTTTCTCCTGTGGTGCAGACTGTGCTTCAGATGGGCTTTGAGGCCAGCGTGGTGGAGAGTCTTGTCCAGACCAAGTATCTTTTGACAGGCCAGCACTACACTTCTGTGTCTGACCTTGTTGCTGATGTACTGCATGCAGAAGAAGAGGACAGGCAGAGGGAGCCACAGTACGGAGGTAACACCCAGTGGTGGAAAGGAACAAAGTACATTTTTTTCATGTACAGTATCTAAATACAGTTGTGAGGTACCTCTACTTCACTTTTTACTTCTACTCCACTACAGTTCAGAGGGAAATATGTTTTACTCCAATACATTTGACAGCTATAATTACTAATTAGTTTATAAACTTTATAAGTAGCTTTAAATGTTTCAGTTATACATTGTTAAAAATCAAACCAGTGGCTTTCAGCCTTTTTGATATGTGATCTCTTTCAATAAAACTGTCTGGCTGACTGAGGAGTTGTTAGCGTGTCCAGCAAGGATCCATAGCCTCTCTAAATTTCTCAGTTTGATTTAAATCATTGTTTGAGGGCCAGAGTGCAAAACTATTATATATTTCACAAAAAGAAACACCTTAATATTTAGTCTCCTAGAAACCCAGTCTTTTCTTTGACTATTTAAAATAGTGTTTTACTTCAGAAATGTGACTTCACCTGTTAACATGTTACATTGGATGTCTGAGTTGACACTTTTTCGTGTTTGTGCGCTTCAGATCTAGAGATGATGCAGGGCTCCTGCACTGGAAATGTGAGGACACAAACACCCGCCAGAGAGAGAGGTCAGAGATCAACATCTATAGCTGTAGAAGTACTGACATATGATTACTTTATGCTGCAGCAAACAATTACCTTATACATACACTGTAGTCTGCTCATGTGTGCTCACCTGTTTTTCTCTGCTGTGGTCTCTGCAGCAGTGAAGGACCCCAGTCCAGAAGATCTGCTGAGGCAGTTGCAGGAGGAGAGGACCTGTAAGGTGTGCATGGATAAGCTGGTATCCATTGTCTTCATCCCCTGTGGTCATCTGGTGGTGTGTGGTGATTGTGCTGCCAGCCTGCGTCACTGCCCCATCTGCAGAGCTGTCATCAGAGGCAGTGTTCGCACTTTCATGTCCTAAGGCTCTAGTGAGAAGCCACTGCTACACAGGTGTTTCATGAGTGGCCTTGAGTTTTCCGTTGTACTCATTTTCTCCTTGTACTGAGGAGAATCATGAGTGCTGGTTGCTTGTTTTGTCAGAGCTCACAGATCATTTTCTATAATAAACATTTTAAGCTGTTGAATTAGTGCTTTTGGTTTTCATTTTTTACACAAACAAAACATCAACTAAATGACACGCAAAGCAAAAGCACATTTTTTTATTAACAACTATTTACATGAACACAAAGCACAGTTCTCCATAAATGGGATTACACAGTCAGCTTATATGGGGATGGGGCCACACAGGACACAAAATAGAAGAGAGAAGTACAAAGAAAGTTGGAGAGAAGGAGAGATATCTTTCCCACTTTCTATTCAAAGAAAATTTTCTACAGAGGTGGAATCTTTCTTCAGTGGAGATTAGCATATACACAACTGTAACAGCTTTAAACTCATTTCAGTCAGTGAGTTTTAGGAAGAGGCTGTATTGCACTGAGTGGAAGACTAGTTTTTACATTATTTTAGTAGCATTTCAGTACTAATACTGATTATGTTACAATATGAGATGCTTTGTGGTTTTACTGGCCCACACAGCAGTTTGCCAACCAGGAGTGTGTAAACCTATAAGACAATAATAACTTGTATATTATGCATCTTTCTAAGAGTGTGGTGACCTGCAAAATCAAACTCTGATTATTGTGAATGCAGCCAGTAGAAGTGGTCAGATTGTTTTCAGAATCATAACAGTTAGTAGACTATCTGCCAGTGAAGTACATCAAACACCCAGCAGGATTTTTTTAGGTGCTGACTACCAACCAAATACCTTTAAAACCAAAATGAACAAAAAGCAACTTCTTGCTTCACAGCTCTTTTGATAAAATAATAATAATAATAATAATACAATAAACAATCAATTTTAATCTTTTCACCAAGAATTGCTGTAATCAAACAAATGACATGCTTAAAATATTCAGGATTCAGATTCATTAAGACAACTGGGGCAGCCCCTTACATGACATTAAGATAATATTTTAACATTTAACATTATCTGAAAAAAACAAAAACAAAAAAACCTTTAAGGCAAACAATGGAGATTTATAGGAGAACTGATGTGAACCAGAAACAGTCACCTTGCAACTTGTACAAGAACAGTTTGAACACCAGAGGGCAGTAGTGATTCGCAGCATGACAGATCTAGTACAAAGGAAGGGGATTAGGAGGTATGACTCAGGTGTGTGTGCATTTGCCTGTATTGCAAGATCAGAAGAATAGAAGTCCCAGTAACAAACTACTCAGAAGAAGCTTTCAGTCATAGTTTAACCAGCTCACATATAGCCAGCTGAAGACATCGCTTTTGTTTTTTTTCTCATTACTTAACATTATACACATAATTACAACATATACCCTGTAAAAAACATGCTATAAAACAGTTACAACTGAGACTATCACCAATGAGAATCTAAACTGCTGACCCGATGTGAGGCAGTGCTCTGACCCACTCAGGTACAGCCACGCTACTTCTACGCTGACAACAATATCCACACAACTCAACACTGTTCTGTGCAATATGAATAGCAAAACAAATTTGTTTTCTTCAAGATAAAAATATGCTATGTAATCTTTGCTTGAGCGTCTGTAGTGATAACCACTGTTGGAAGCTTGATGTGTCAGGAGTTAAAAGAGGAGAAGTGAAGTAAAAACAAAGCTTTGAGCACATCACCACCTGACACTTCAGACATCCTGACTTCTTGGCTGTTGGTGAGTAAAGTCAAAATATAATAAGACTCCAGAAATAAAAGTAAGACTCACATGTTGTTACTAGTATTTGAACACCCTTTACATGCTAACACTCTTTAACATTCTTGATAATTCAAGTCTCAAACTCTAAATCTCAAATTACCACCCCGCAGTCTATATTTACATTTTCTATTTTTGACAACTGCCCCTGTATGTTTGGTGCTTTTGTTCCCTCCCTTCCCTCTACATCTTTACTCCCCCTACCTCTTCCTGCTTTATTCATGTATTTATGCACACAGATCCTGGCCCTAAAGTAAACAGGCAACAAACAATGGCTCATCCCACAGGCTCCACTGTAATTCAGCCCTCGGGCCAAGATGTGAGCCAAACCAGCAATAACATGCTAAATCACCAAGTTCTCCAAGACACAGCACCACAGACTGGGAATGCTGGGCAGCCCCTGATTACACACAATGTATTTATATGCTGTACATGTTCTATACAGTCATGTTCCTGGGGAGTTTTATGCAGGTAACAGCAACGGGACTTCAGCAGAGAACTCAGCACAAAGAAAATGATTCATACTTCCCTAAATACACAGTAAGAGGTTTTGTTACACTGCAATCCCCAGTTCTCTGATCCCGTCATACCTCCCTGGAAAACAATGAACAATAACTGAGACGTGTTGGCTTTTCTGGGCAGCACACCAGTAAGTGACATGTTTAAAGTACTGAAACCAAGAAGGGGAGGAATGTCTGGTGTGCCCTGCTGTACGGGGTCATTTGTGTCAAAACCGCAGTTTTGTCTCTGTGGAAATCTGCTGTGTCACCTCGTTGCTGGACGCTCTCCTATTTACGTAGACCTGAAGAGAACAGAAACATGGGGAAAAAGAGCAGAGGGTTAGCGGTTGTTGGGCCACTTGCTCAAAAACACATACACATTCAGACACGTACTCACACTTCTGTGAATAGAGTTAACCACAATGTAAGTCCCAGTAGATTAGGGAGATGAAAGCTTCCTCCTTCTCACTGAGACTGTTCTCCTCTAAAAAAAACAAGCTTATAGGTTGCGTGTACAAGCAGCTTACTACCACCTACAGTTACACATTATTGTTAGACGACTGATATTAATTACCGTAGTAATTATGGCGAGAACAAAAGAGGAAGCTGCTATTTTAAGAGATGTTCCTGTGGATCGTATGAAAGGGTAGGGACAAACTACTGTATGCATTAAATGTGGTTATTTTGGTCGGGGACTTGTTGCTCTGATTAAACCGTCGAGAAGCTAATAAAATATTAATTTCTTATTTCATGGCAGAGAATTATTACACGACTTCCCAGGCTTACTGTTATTTGTTCTGTGGACAAACGAACCAATTTTTCTTATTTTAGACAGACTTTTGTATGCACTTGTCTTGATATGTTTCTGTCATTAACTGCCTGTGACGTAAAGACAGATGCACATTGAACACAAATAACACAACAGTACAATCCATGAAAGACCTTCATTTTCCCCAAAGCCCTCTGACAGGATGTAGCATGTTTCACAGAGTAGTTTACTCCCCAGACATGACTCAGACATCCACGTAGTGAACACGCAACTGTCTGCACAACTTCTGGTCACTATTGTAACCTACTGGATCCGGATCAAACAATGAAAAGCTCTGGAACAAGTGTGAGTGGACCTTGAGTAGAGATCATTTTGTCATCGCTAATACTTTTTTGATCAATATATAGTTTCAGGAAAAATCTGGAAACCACATTTCCAGATTTTTCATGACCACAAAATACAATAATGATGCATATTCATATGCACCTGTTCTTATAGCCACATTATACCTACAAACACATGCACAATATAGAATGGCAGCACAGTGATACTTACAGGTACACAGGCTTTAAGAGGAGATGAGATGGTTTCTCATTGACATGGTAGAGTGGGAATGGGTCAAATCCACCAATAAAATCAACTGAAAACAAAAGGATTAAACACATACATTATGGAGTAAATCAAAAGACAGACGATAACATGCATGATCAAAAAAAAAAAAGGTGAAAACAAGCAACCGAGAGATGAAATGGAAACAAGACACAATGCAGAGATGTTGAAAGGTAGGTAGCTTGCCAACAACAGTACATACTGCAAATCTTTTTTGTTTTAACTTTGACAAATAAAAATCCTTTAAAAAAAATCTCTGGCTAAATGTTTTTCATCTGTGCATCTGCCTAGGCCAGAGGGAGGGCTCAGGAACAAGCGAAAGCTGGCCAGCTGTCAAATAAGCCTTTTTATCGCTCAGAAACAGAGGTGACCTTCAGCCACCAACCGAATGCTCAACCCTTTCTGTTTATTTTCTCCCTTAAGAGTTCAGGCTCTTGGCATAGTGCAGATGAGCAAACAAATGTTACGCCATGCAAGAAGGAAGAGGGATACGCTGGTACCCAAGTGCTTCGCATCACAAATGCAGAGAGATACGTATTTATGAGATGAAGGAAAAGGCTCATGGCTCTTGAGAGTATGCAAAGGCTGAGTGAGAGGGAGGGGAGAAAGAGAGGGGAGGACTGGGCGCGTTTCACTTGTCGGTCTGACTGATAGGGGCCCAAAGAGAAAATGACTGAAAAAGTGCACCAGGAAGAGGCCAAATTGCCCAGGAGCTGCGAGCCTCTTGTAAAACACCAAAAGGAGTGGAAAAAGAGAAGCTGCCCTCAATGCTCCATTCTGTACACACCACATCTATTGCACGGCTGTCCAACCTGGGAGAGGGATTCCTCCTGTGTTGCTCTTCCTGAGGTTTCTTCCATTTCCTTCCCGTTAAAGGGGTTTTTATGGGGAGCTTTTCCTTGTCTATGTCAAGGGTCTAAGGACAGATGGTGTCATATGCTGAGCAAATTGTACAGCCCCTTCAGGCTAAACTACAAATTTGTGATATAGGGCTATACAAATAAAATCTGACTTGACTTGAACCTGATTCAATGGAAAAAGCATAAAACAAATGGTGGATTCCAGTTCAATGGGATAAAAAAAACAATAAAGGGTGGATCTGTTACTTTTTTGGGAGCCAACAGCTTAGGGAAAACACACAAACCAGACATGGAAACTATTGTAAAGTCCCATCAGTTCCATCCTGATATGAGGAGGCCAGGGTGGTCTGTTGAATACTGATAGGTTGGCAGGATGGGCCACAGGGTGTGGTGGGGGGACGGCCCTCTCACCCTGCACTGGATTCCTGGGATTCTACATTTCATCTGTACACACACAAACACACACACACCTCTTCCCTGCTCTTTTCTGTACCAGTGATTTTTCTCATTATAAGCAGGTGGGGATTTATCCCCTGCAATGATAAACTGTGCTAAATAATATTAATGGACAGTTAATATTAATATTAATAATTTTTAGACAGTCAGCCTGTTCATCGGTAGTCTGTCAATCCAACCTTTTAGTTCAGAGTGAGACATCATGAGAGCCACTGAACAGATGGTTATGAAAATGTCTAAGAGATATTTATAGTCCCAAGAGGATGACTCTTAATGACTATGGCAATCTCCTACTTTTTCTTCTAAACAGGTCAAACTTACCACTTGTACCTCAGCTCGAACACAAATGGCAAAATTCCTGTCCTGCCCCTATGTGCTGCTACCTGCTCTTATGGTGATGAAGATATTCTGTGCTTGTCCCTCACTGAGCCTTTTCCCCCTGTTCATTATTAGACACAGTGATCTGACCCCCGACCTTGAGGTGGATCTTCTATGCAGCTCGCTAACTGCTTATGGTGGAGAAATCAGTGTATATTCTGAACAGTAAAAACAGGGCTTTTAGAAAACACTAAGACACTATGTCAGGCAACGTGGTCCACTTTTTTAGGAATATTTTAGACTTGCTGAAGCAATCTGCTCTTTGTGCTTGGTCTGTAAACAGCAAACAACATTTTAAATATGAATGTGAAAAGGTACTTAGATGAAATGGTGGAAAGCTAAAAGCTTGCAGGCTTGTTCATTCTCAACAGATGCTTTAGGCACAGTTCTAATGCTTTGACATTCAAGCGTGGATGAGGAACATTTACAAAATGATCTGAATACACGAGGGGAGAACATTAACCATGTATTTAATTTATTTAGTGGCCTTGGGAACAGATATTGGCAGTTGATCAGTGCATTTGATTCCCTAATAGTGGAAAAGGCAACTCAGTTTCTTGCAGGTAGATGTAGCAAGCTCATTTTCACTTGAGTGGGCCCACAAAAAGAAAGAAAGAAAGAAATGAAATATATACATGTCAATAGTTAGGACATCTATATGGTGCTCCTAAAGAAGCAGGGGCTAATGTAAGATGATTCTGATTAAGTGGAAACTCGAAGTCAGTGGACCTGTGTTGAACTAGGAGCAATCTACAGAATACTGCCACATCGCCTACAGTGTGTGTGTGGGTGTGTGTGTGTGTGTGTGTGTGTGTGTGTGTGTGAAGGGTTAGTGAGCTGACAGTGAAATAAAATGCAGGCACAGAGATAAAAAGGAAAAAGACCAGGAGGGAAAAAACAGGGATGGTGAGAATAAAAGAGGGGCGTGTGAGGAAGATCAAGAAAAACAAGGCGAGACAGGTCAGAGACAGAGAGAGCGATAAAGAGCAGACAAACAGTTTGACATTTTGCTGTAAGAGATAAGATACAAAATACATTTATGGTCTCTCTCTCACTCCCTCGCTCTCCACCTCACACACACACGCTGTATTTTTGGGAGCTCCTCACAGTTGCCTCCATTCTAGATAACTGCATCTCTGTCCTCACACATCATTACACAGCCATCGTGCAGACTACTCATTTACTTTAAAGCCCAGTTTAGCAGTTTAATGCTTAGTAATTTTGCATATGAAAACTTTAGGTATGCTTGACTTGGAGTGCATTTAAAGTTAATCATCCATGCAAAGAGGCAGAACGGGAGAGCCCGTGGAAAGTTTGCCTGTATTTATGATAGATTAACATGAAGCAGCGAGCACTTTAATGTGACAAATGCATCAAATACTGCCATTGCGTTTATTTCTTTGTGCACTATTAGGGTTAAATTCTCATTATTTGTGTCTTGGTCACAACAACTGCTAATCACTTATTTGTTATACAATGTCCAGCACTGCCTTTTTTCTATTTTTAATCATATATTTATGTTCACATTGGCCCAATCATAACATTTATAGAGAAACAAAGCTTTAAATGCGTCTCCTTATACCTGAACATACAGTGGCTCCAGCAACTATGGCAGGTTCTCCAAGATGCTTGGAGAACAACCTGCCTGGCAAGAACCTTGAAAAAATAATTAAACAAAGTAAGTCATTACAGCGGGACGGTGACACAGCTAAGTGGAATTCAGACGTAGTTCATTTTATTATTTATGCCTGTGCTTTTCCAGCTGTGACGTGTCAAAATGTCTTCTGTGAAAAGGGTATATTCATGATCTTTGTTCTTGTTTGATGTCATTCTTAAAAACATACTGGGGCGATAACATAAGAAAAGGGTGTAGCTTCTGTGATGTTTTGACCTTTTCATCTACACATCCATCCCTCCAGTTGATCTGTCTGCTGTGGAGAGTTTCCTGATGATGTGACTCAGAACAGAGGGCAGCGGCATAATTAGCAGACATGCTAAAGCTAGGCTTATCGCAGTGCCAGGCAGCTAACTCCACGACCTACTTTACAAAGAGGATTTTCCCCACCGCTGGCTCTGCCGGTGTGTCTGCTCACCACCGATAACAAAGTCATACACACAAACACCTATACTCAAACAGTTAGTCACACACAAATACATTCAAGATATACAGTAGGTACAATTGAGGGCACATAGATACATGCACTTACAAAGTCTCATCAAAGAAGAGACCACTCACCCACACACACTATAAGTGCCTGAAAGCCATGTCAGACCCTGAGCTGACTATATATACAGTATGATGCTTGATATTCGCCCCACTGTGACTACTTGGCATCACGCAAGTGTGGGTGAATGTGTGCGTGTTTCATTCCACTATTTTTCCACGCACTCAAATCTAACTCACCCGTTTACCTTGAGAGTGAGAAGGCCCTCTGTATGACAGGAATTCCTGTCTTGTCTCCTTATTTGTGAAAAGCTCATCTTCCCTCATGTTGTTTATTCCTGTATATTATCCCGTCTCCTTTTGTCTCTCCTTGGCTTACTCCTGACAACCACCTCCCTCTGCTCCCCTCAAATACTCCTCCTTGTGTCCTTCCCTCTCTCTTTCCTCTCCTTCTGTCTCTCCTGAGACATCTTCCTGCCTGTCTTCTCTCAGTGAGGTGCAGTCAAATCTGGATGTTATTGACCAGGAAAGCTTGATGAGGCTGATACACGAGTGATCAGGGACCTCTAACTTTTTACAACCTCATTAAAAGCTCAAAATCCAGAAATGGGAGAAGAGACAGAGAGAGGGAGAGGGCATAGAGTTCTTAAACAAACTAAAACTGGATTTTGATGCATAATTATTTTATCGCCCTGTGAGAAAGCTGGGAGGAAAAGCAAAGCATGTAAGGGAGGAGTAAAGAGAAGGAAAAGTTGTCAGACATCACACAGCTGCTGAGGCAGCCATAGAGCTCAGTGTGGAAACGTGCTTTAATCTACACAGCAAATGAGAGAGGAAAATGCAAGCACAGCTGGTTTTTGTGTTGGTGTGTGTATCTGTGCACCTGTGTCTGCATGAACAAAACAGTATGTTGTGAATGCAAAGCGCAGGTTACAATAACAAAGAGCCAGTGGTTGGAAGCGATGTAGCAGTACTTTATTCCACACAGCTTAAATCAGAATGACTACGTAGTTTTTTTAAACCAACATTTCCATATTGCTCTGCTGCTATTTTTTATGATGTTAAACAAACAATTGGTGCCGACAGCCCGTGTAGGAAATTAATGAAGCTCAAAGATCACCAAAAACAATAAGAAAAGCCACTGAGGTCAAGGGTTGGTTTTTTTTTCTAGTTGACTGGACTCCTGCTGCTAAGGTTTTGCACTCAAAGGAGTTCATAGTGGTGACTGGTGATTTAACTGGCACTGCTAACCACTCATAGCCAGCGAATCTCTGGTATGTGACTGCCAAAGAACTGCTTGAACGTCTGTCCCAGTAGTCCACAGAAACACATGCAGAAACCCCATAAGAAATCCACCAAATTACAAGAGTCGGCTTTTAAAGATGCAATTAGTGTGATGTATGGTTTGGGTGTCCAGAAAAGGGACTGACATGATTAGCACCAGGCATCAGATACTTCATAATAGTATTTAAAAAATCATTCATGTTTGAATATATAATTGAAAAACTCTGAAATCTGACCTAATCCTCATAGAGGGAGCTTTTTCATTCAGTCATTATAAATGCAGCTATCTGACACCTACACCTCTCTGCATTTGGTTAAAGTCATTTGCTGAAATACTAATGAAGGCAGGCTTTCATGCATGTGGGAATAGCTAAGGAGAGCCACTGATGTGCTAATCAGATATTTATGACTCCAACTGACCCTTAGACCAAATGGCTCCTGCCCTCTAACTGGCTACCTTCCAGCAGGACCTCTGACCTACTGCCTGTAAGGTCACAGCAGTTGAGTCATTTATCACAAGTGTCTGTCTCTGGTTTCCCCATCTTCTCTTTTGACTCATATCATGGTCCCCTGCCATATTTTCACACACCCTTTTCTCACTCTCTGCCTGCTTTATGCATGTCAAGGGTTAACTCTTAGTCACTTCAAAGAAGGATGTGTATGTCTGACAAGTTGCAAGAGAGACAGACATTAGGAGGAAGGTGTGTGTACAGTCTGCCCAGGTGACAGACAGCTGGGGCGACATACAAGAGGCATATGGAGAGAAGAAAGTGAAAGCCAGAGTACATTAAAGCAGGTGAAAGCCACATAGGATGATGAAGAGGTGAGATGAGGCGATGAGTGCACATGTGAAAGAATGGGCTGAAGTAGACGTGAAGAGGGAACACATGGCTGTTTTGGTTCAGGAGGGTGAGAGGAGCCCCAGCTGGTGTGGGGGAGGAGAGAGGAGAGAGAAAGGGGATAACCCGAGTGGTGACAGTGTGGGGGGGGGGATAGGAACAGAGACTGATGAAGAAAGATGTAGCCCTGTTCTCCTCAACTCCCACCTCATGTGTGTGAGTAGATCTGGGTAGTGAATCATTCAAGACTCTTTCAAAATTAATTCTCTGTGTGTGTCTAAGGACAAGGTTAAGAGACTCACAGCTGTCTTCCTCCTCAGTGATAGCGCTGACAACATAACAGGCGTACACGAAGCCCAGGAGCTGTGAACACACAAGCAAACAAGCGAGGTTAGACTCCACAGACCTGGCAGTGTGCACTCGATGTACAGCTGTGTTTTTGCACTGACAGACAAAAAGACAATACAGAAAGAACATCTGGAAAAGAGGAAGCAATGTTTTTGTGTCTCATTCTTTTGTCAGGCCCATAATTTTACTGTTTTGGAAAATTCTTGGTGCTCTTACAATACCATTTTCAGCTGGCAGCTGTTTTGAGTTTAAAGAGAAAAAATCTAAAATCCAACTAGCTAATGGTAAACGGACAAAGTGGGCGAATAGCTGGTGAACATAGTGGAGCAGTCACTAAAGATCTACATAGTTCACTCTGGAGATGGTGGAGAATCAATCCAAGCTACGAGGAGAGCGAACCCTGGACATCCAAACATTAGTTGGCCAGAAACACGACTCCAAAGTAATGATAACGTTGCTCTAGGGCTACCCCCCTAATAGTCGAATAGTCCATTCATTAGTCGAGAGACCTGTCAGTTGACTGAGACTCTTCTAATCGAGCCTTTGTTTTCATTTTGTTATAATGTATTTTTTGTCAGCCAGTGAGCATTACAATAGAGGGTAGCCCAAGCCTGGTAGTTTGTCGTCGTCTTCTCCTCATTTTGTTCAATGCTTCCCCCTGTGATTCTGTCGGGGCTTTCTGCAACATGAAAACATCAAACATACAGTTACAACATGTGCTGTGGTTAACTGAGGGGAGAAGCTCAAACTTGCTGGCAAACTAGGCTGTAACCACATCTCAGAAGAAAAAAAATGCCGACAAGTGCGCTGCCTGTCTCGTTGATGTGACAAATCCATATGGCAGCCCGACATTATATACTGTATAATCAAATCAAATAGGTCACAGTTTAAATACTGCATCATATGCAGCTGTCTTTTATTGATCTTTAAATGCTCAGAAATCTGTTCCTTTCACTCTTGTGCATTTAAATACTGATGTTTATGTGATCAGAGAAAGAAATGAAAGAAAGAAAGAAAAAGAATGGCTAGTCGAACAGTCACACTGACTGACAAAATCCTTAGCTGGGTACGGCCCTGTGTTGCTCCCTAACTGGTGGATGTGTAAACAAACAAAAGTTTGCTAAAAGTTTGCCAACTTCAAAAAGGTGATGAAATGTTAGTGCTGCTTTTCACAGCTCTACTGCACTTTATTGTAGTGTCTGTGCTGGCAGTGCTTTCAGTGTTGACAGGGTATGTTCAGGAGTGTACGTACACTAGTCAGTTGCATGCAAAAACACACCAAAAAGCAAAACCAAGCACACAAGCAGCTGTACAGCATGACACATGTGGGCAAACACGCAGCGCTGAGAATAGCCTGTGGAACTGGCAGATGGCTATCAGACTCAAACAGACACTGTGAGAGACAGTCTCTCTCCACCCATCCATCCATCATTTGGCACTCTGCCATGCCAATTAACACAGCATTGGGCACGCTGCCCTCCTCGAACACTGGGTGCACAAACACAGAACCCAAAGGGGGGTGAAGGACTATATGTGATTGTGGCTATTCATATAACATTGACTCAACATATAATTTATCTTGTAATTTTAAGAAAAACAAAAGATGATGTGGAGTTTGTATGTCTTTCATCTCTCGTTTGGATTTTATCCCATTTTCATGCAAACAATATAATTATCCTTTATTGTAGTTCATCCAGATGTAGATTAAATGCTTTATTTATAAATGAAATGAAGGTGTGGTGTCTGGTGGAAAAGCCATTAGGTGTGTCCTCTAAGTAAGATACACAACTCTCTCTCTGCTTCTGACTCACTTGTTTTTTTTTTCTCTAGTATCTAATTGCTGGTCTCGCCACAACCATTACAGCAGCAGTGAAATGGAGGGCATTAGCATATGTATAAAGCCAGTGTCAAACACAAGATGGTGTTAACAGTAGGGGGCACACCCCGTATTTCAACTGTATTGTGTCTGTGTACGTGTCCAGGTGTGCTTTTCCTGTAAATGTGTGCACCAAGTGTGTCCTTCCGTGATTTTCATAAGGGGCCCTGATTACTGTTGTGGTCTGGGATTGAGTCAAACATTAGTACAGGCAACATGTCACAGGACAGGAGAAAACAGCACAGTGTTTGTGTATCTTATATACAGATGAGTGAAAAATTAAAGGAAACCCCAACATTAAACACATTAGTAAGGTGTTGGTTGACTGCGAGCTACCAGGACAGCTTCACTGATTCTACAAGTGTCTGAACCAGTCTTCCAAAATACAGATGGTAGTTCAGGGGGCTGTTCTAGGCCCTGTTCACATTAACAATGATGCTGTTGTGGAAAAAAATGCAGCTCTCCTTTATTCATTTCCCTGAGAACACTGTATTTACACAGCACCGATGTCAATGCAAAGGACTGCTACCAAAAAATGTCCAGCATCAAAGTTGGACCTGTTGAACTTTTGACTCGATGCAACACAGCATCAACTGGCAACACATACACATTCCTGGTAGATTACTTTGCAACATGAACAGGGTAATTCTGCTGTTTACCTGACAACTGTGGTAACAGAGGATAAAAGAATTACTGTCATAACCTTCCAGAGCTGTACAATCCTGTGTCGTAGCATCATACAAGGATGTGCAGTGTCTGGTAAGTCTTTAAACTTTATTTCTCATTTATAGAACCTGTTTCACAAAGGCAGTTTGTGAGTACTGACACACTATTGCCATTGCTCTGAAGATAATGTGTGTGACATACTGTGGCTACTTTTAGCTTCACTGCACACTTAAACATAGCAGTTGTGACTAGACAAATCCATCACAGCACACATTTCCTCAAATTTAATATCTTTAATCAGTAAAACTCAAACCCCATGGGAGCAGCCTGTCACTGAAAATCACCGCTGTCGCTCACACTCAACTGATAACCGCTGAAAGCAGGACGATCTGGACACCAAATCAAGACAGACTGTAAAGAAGAAGGACTGTGAGTGATGTCTCTGCTGGTGTTTGTCTTTCATTTTAAGAAAGTCGCCCCATAGGCTGATCTTAAACCTACCTGTCTAGTTTGCTTTCTATTATTTCAGTACATTTTGTGTGATGAAAAGGAAGATGGTTAGATCTGAACAGTGAACACTTGGTGGCTTTTTGCTGGAGCCACTGCAGTTTATCACCAATATAGGTCAGTGTCCTCATGCATATTAAATAGCCTTAAGTGACACTCTCCTACACACAGATACTCTTCTACATTCCTTGCTGACTGTCACTTCTGGAGTTCAGGGATCATTTTGGAGATAAATTTCATATTAATTAAGCTCATAAAGCCCCCGCATGTCCTCTGAGACTTGATCTCGGTCTGTGTGAGAGGACACTCACTGGCACTGGCCATTTTTTTAAAATTGCACTTTGTAGTAGTTGGTTTTTTTTTTTTTTGACACTTTCTAAACCAAAGTCTTCACATCATAGTCACTCCTCAACTCACAAGTCTCCTCTGCCTTCTTTTCTCTTCATCTCCTCTCTGTTCTCTCTCCTCCTCTGCAGGTTGCTGGACAGTGAACGATGACAGTGAACTCACAGAAGGACGAAGGCAGAAAACTGGATACAAAGGTTCAGCGCTTGATGTGGGAATACATCAGAAGCAACGCTGTCCTTCAGTGGGCATTCACTGAATATTTACAATGTTTCACAAGAAAGTAAAGAAGGCATTTGTGATAGTTCAGCATTTCTCTTCTCACGTAATTAGAGCAAAAAGAAGTCGAAGGCTCAGTCATTCATGTGTGTGCATGAGAAGAAGGCCAGCTGCTAGAAAAGAAGGGTACTTGTATTTGCATAAGCTAATGAAGGTCAGGTTTATGCTGAATGTGCCAGAAAAAACACATAACCACTACTGACAAGACACAATCATTCACACTTCACTTCATGATTACTCTAGGAGCTTGCAGTCGTCTCAGTCATTCTAGACAAATACAGTCAATAAGGACTACAGTCAACTGTCAAGACATTTCCAAAGCTAAAATTTAATTTATAAATTTATCAGTCCAGCTCACTACAAAACTTCCAAACAACTACATCCTACAATGTGGGCCTTTTCAGACTTTGCACCCGCCCAGTAGAACATCAAAAAATGACTCAACAGTTTTGACTATTGTTTAAGTCATTTATAAAGCGAGAAAAGCCCAACAATCCCCAGTAACAGCTCCTCAAATGTGAAGATGTGTTGCTTTTCTCTGTTTAGAAACTGGGAATCTTTGGGTTTTAAACTGTTGGTACATCAAACCGCAACCAAAATAACCTTGGAAATCAACTGGGTACATCAGAAAAAAAAATCCCAAGAATTTCTGTTGTGAAATTTTGATGGTCATTTTTATAGTTAATCATTTACTTAGTTGCAAAGAACATTAATTGATTCATCAATTCTGACTATAATTGCTATTTTCAGCCCTACATGTGTCTATTCAGTAGCATTCGGAGTTCATGTACATTTGGAGGTCTGTCTTGTCCACAGCTGATCAGCCTGTGCAAGTGATGGACATGGGAGTTGATCTACAAGATAATTAACACACTACTGACTGTGGCGTCTGGGAGAAAATTCACTACGTGAATAATAATACACAGGCAGAATGTATCACATGGTAAAGGAAGAACAGAAAAAGAGTAGGAGGTAGGTGGTGCAGATGTCTTGTAGGTTAATTACCCAGGACGTTCTGTCTGACAATAAGGTTCAAGCTTCACTGCAGAAAATTAGATGTGTGTGTTTGTGCGTGGGCAGCTGCATGTTTAATGACAAAACATGATGAGATTGGGACTACAGAGACCACATCCACCTGTTCTTTTCTACCAGCCCCCTCTCCAAATGTGCACACACACACACACACACACACACTCACATAGATCTATACAGCTTACATACAACCACCTGGGGTTGTTAAGTGTGTGTGTGGTGCCGATTTGCTTCTTCCACAACAAATAGCTGCTACTGCAAAGCATGCTAATGTCCAAAAACATGACACAAATGTACAAGAGGCTGCCCATGTAGAATGAAAAGCTCTATGAATGGAGAAAACACTCGCTGTTCTTCACATACAGCACTGTGAAGAAGATTTTTAGATGAGGTCTGACTGAGCAAACAGAACACACTCAACAAGCAAACACGCCACTAGAAAAGATTAACTCCTTTAATGGTGCTTGTTTTTCTCTTCTATGTCCTCTCCTGTTTTGCTCTTTTTTTGTGCATTGTCAAAAGTTTAAACAGACCAAATATTAGAGTCAAATAAATCTGAGGAAAATCCCTTTTCTTCCAGAACAGATTAACAATTAAAGCTCTTGGCAGAAACAGCCTTTGAAGTATAATGTTGGGCACTCATTTTTTATGATGTACTGTGGGTAGCCTCACACAATATTCAGAGGTCCACTGGAGACTAGTTCTCTCCTCTGGTCTTGAGATTCTCCTTCTCTTCTTTCTGGCAGCAGCCAGCAGACCTAATAACTGCTCACCTCTGCATCATAGGTCTTTTAATCCTGGGTTCTTTATAATCCTTTGAAGCTGATGCTGTAAAACTTGCAGTGCAGTTACAATCCCGTGTCAGCATCGACATATTCCAGAGGTGCTTTCTGCTACTATCATACCAGACAATGCATGACCATTTACTGAGAAATTACTGGACTTCAAATACGAGCACATCAAAAGATCCGTCCAGTTGTCTCTCCATGCAGCATATACACAAGTGGGAAAAAACATATTTACCTCAGTGGTGATGGTTGTTCAGCATGAGAGTTTGGAAACACAACATAGACTAATGGACTTATCAAAGCGAGCACACTGACCTTTTGGGTGAGTGAGAGGGCCGGGTGGGGTGGCCATGCTGTTTTCATGCTGCTGAACTGAGTGAACCTGAACAAGCACAAAACACACGGTCGACCCAATAGGCAAGCACAGCCCCAAGCGGTAATCACAGGGGGTCTGTCCACATGAGTCCTACTGAGGGGCCCCCCTTTAATTAACCAGAGAGCGTTATTAGTCACCCACCCAACCCTCGCCCCTGGCCTTAAAACAAGCCACACTTTAACACAGAGAGTAGACTGACATGACAGAGCCTCTAAGCTCCAGAGAAAATGAGAGAAGGAGCAAAACTGACAATGAATGAGAAATGCAGGGACAGAGAGAAGTGCGCTGTCAGTTTCGTCATTGAAGTTGGTGACATGAAGGTCAAACAGTGTGTGAGAACTGGGCAGGAGAGGGACACAGGAAGACAAAGAAAAATAGAGGAAAAAAGAGGAAATGAGCAATGGAACGAGCGAATGACGCAGGCTGCACACAATCTAGTCAAAGCAGGTTTCCTGGGAATAGTGAGGTAACATAAGAAAGCATTGCCTGTGGCAGTAATAACCCACACCAACTGATATGTTGTCTGTGTGTATATGTGAGCACTGTTTCTGGCTGTTTTATAAGAAGTTCATAGGCTGACAACCCGTTGACATCTCCCACTACCTTTATTATGTAAGAGTGACGTCTATAGATGTACAAACTAAAAATCACATCTTGCACCATTTTTCTTCTTCTCTCTCATACCTTTCTTTCTAACTACCCACCATCTCACCAGAGATGTTTTCTCACACTCAAATGTTTTATTTAACAGTGAACGAGATGCACAGAAGCAAAGGAAGACAAGAAGATAGAGAGAGGAGAAAGGCAGTGCAGATCTTTTTCAGACTAGACTTACAGGAAAATCAGTCATTATTATTATGCTAGTAGAAAAACTAGAACTATTCACTGGCAATATGTACCATAGGGTGGATGGGCAAGTAAGATTTCAGTGAAGGAAACAAAGAATATAAGGGCAGAGATGAGGCAAACCACTCCCCTCAGCGATAAATGAATAATACATTATGCCAGTTTGAAAAGGTTGCCTCCACTTCAAGCTCATCCTTTAAATCTTGAAGTTACTTTTGGCTGAATGCTGCCTGAAGCGGCAATAAGCAACAACACAGAGCTGACTTTACAAATTTTGGAAGCTTCACTCCTGAATGGCTTCCTTCTAGCTCATGATGAATCTGAGCAGATAGATGACATTGATGCCTCCATTACTGGCCAATGAATTCACATTTTTCATCTTAATGAAACATGCTCCTCTGAGCCTAAACTAAATATTTAATGGCCTCTCGACGCAACCTTGAAACCCCTCTAACAAAGACAAAAGGACACCCCACTTCCTTGTTTTTCTTTTCATTCATCCCTTCAACTCTCATCTGTGTGGCCCTGGAAAAAGGACAAACCAAAACAAAAGTGCACATCTCAGAGGACTCTCTTTTCCTATGCAGCACTTTGCTCTTAGCCTGAGAGGAAGTGAGGACACAAAGAAAATTATGCCTTCTGTGACACTGGGATTTCAGTACCAATTTCCCTGCACCTCTGGGGAGCTGTTCCCACAGAGATGCCATTGAAACGCAGGCAAAATTGTGTTGCCATTATATATGGCGGACTGCAAGCCCACATGAAGTGAGGAATAAACCAATTCACTGCTAATAATGCAGGGGCTAATGAGGTTCAGGAGAGAGCTGGGACTGTAAAGTGAGGTCAGCCATTTTATTACATTTCTTCATGTGGGTGATGGGATGAATGGTACCTATACCATACCATATTATCTGCATTCACAGTGCCTTCCCATGTGTAAATTAGCCCAACATTAGATAGTAAGAATAAAGACCAAGAGTAATCTGAAAGCTGCTGATATTCACAGCTGATGTATGCAAGTGTTGTCTTTCTCTCAGCTACCTACTGCCACCATTAAATATGCACCACTTGTTTTAATTAAAGTGACAATGACTGTAAAAACAGGTGCGATAGTGTATATGCGCGTTGCAATGGAGTCAAAGTGTGTGCATGCCAAAGTTACTGTGAGTATGCACATCTAAACCCAAGTGCCTGCTGTGCCAGCAACTAAGTGTCCTGGCCCCCGTCCAATGGGAGGTTAGTCAGCCATACATGAGTGTGTGTAAAATGTGAATGCAGGCAGGATGTGCGTCTCTGGTGTAGTCATGCCGAGCTGTACATAAAGGACAATAACAGCCCTTCCAGTGTTTGAGTAACCTGTTAGCAGCTGGCAGGTCTGAGCCTCAGCCAGACAAAACAAGAGATCAATTCTTCATTCAGCGACCAGGGAGGGAAGGGAGGCTGTGACAGACAAAATAACAGATTGCTAAGGAAGTATATTGAGAAAAGAGCTTGAAGAGAAACAAAACTTGCTTCCTTTCTTCCACGTTCACCTGTCTCATACATGAATCTGTGAGTGAGGTTCCTGCTGGTGTTAAGCATGTAATACGGTGAGTTCCTCTGAAATGTTCAAACATGCACGTATCAGCGTGTCAATATGTCACTGCTAAAGTCACATGTGCACTGCAAACATGTACTCACAGCAACAAGAATCTGTGTCCCGCTATGCATGACCTCAATGTACTGGTAATCCATAATGCAGCCCATGACAGTAATGTAGGAGTGGCTCTCTGTGGCGTGGACCCCTGATGCCTGTGGCATCTCTCTCCTCACACAGCCCGGCCCATGCTCGCTCCACCAGGAGTGGTGGGCTGAGATGTTAAATGTCAGCAAATCACTGTCCTGGAAGAAAAAGAAAAAAAAATCATTAACTTGTTTGTTTGAAATTCTGACCTCATGGCAGAGCTAGGGGAAGAGTTAAGGGATCACCAAAGTGATTACAATTCATTCTGAGGGGTACATGAGCATCTGAACCAAGTTTCATCTCAACCTGTCCAATATTTGTCAAGACATTTAACTAAAATCTAAAAGTCTCATGGTAGAGCTATATGGATCCCCAAAGTCATTAGGATTCATTGATTGTTTTTGCTGCTTAAAAACACCAAAAATGAAATTTGATTCAATTTTCCAGAAACAATGTGTATTTCTCAGGGTAATTCACTGATTTAACAGTCAGCAGCTTTCTCTGGAACAAACTGTTGACAGTGTGTTTGGTGGTTTATCCACAGTGACAAAGATGGCTGAAGAAAGAGATGCTGCTGTTAATTAGTTAAATGTTTTATTCACTGCCTTGAGCATTAACAACTGAAATATTATTTACCTCCATCTGCATGGCTACATACTACTACTGGTAAGTAACAATAAAAGGTTTCTTCATAATTTGGATGAGCTGACTCTTGACTATTTTTATAAGAAGACTGACAACACAACAGCTGAAAGGCGATGACATGGCTAAAGCCCATGGAGCCACATGCATTCACACGTCACGAGTACATGAACTTTAGTCAGCTGAGCCAACAGACTTGGCGTTTCTAAAGAAAAGCTCACAACTTCTTAAGCTGTACCACAACTTTCAGAGCCAGTGTTTTATACATATAACTCTTGTACACCCTGGCAATGTTTAATCTGCACACAGCCACATGAGCCCACACATACAGATGCTCACAACAATCAATACCCCAGTACAGCAATCTAACCAGCAATCTACCCCATGGTGACAAGACGTGCATTATTAGCAGAGCCCAGAAAACATCTCCGATCTGTATCAAGCCCCACTCACACGTCCATGGACATGTCAACACAGTCAAATCTGCAACAACAACTTTCACCAACAGATCTGTGCAGTCAGTGGAGAAAATGGAACAAGTCATGAACAATATCAAAATAATGCCACTGTGTGAAACCCTTCTCTCTCCATGTTGATGATTCACTGTCATTCTGTCTAACCCTCTCAAACACAGCCACACAAACAAGGGTGGCTGAAGGTCACTAGGTAGGACTGGGAAGACTAATGACTTGACAAATCATGCCAATGATTGAGCCTGCGATCTAAGGATCCCAAACCAAGCTGAAGCTGCACTCACCACTGCAGTACATCAGCAGTCAACAGTGAAGAGGCTTTTGGCCACTTACTGTCAGGAGTGTTATTGTTATACTCCCACACACCCCATAGCACAAATCAATCCAACTATATCATAGATTCAAGGTTAGTCTACTGATATTGCTCAAACAGTTTTCTTTAACAAAAGTCAATACAAATTTGGAGACGGTCCTTTCACTGGAACTAAATAAGGCATTCTATAATGCTAAAAATCAAATAATTACAGTTTTATTTCTGATGATTTATTGTTTCTGAAACATACAGAAAAGAGTTTTTGTGTGTGATCACATTTAGAAGCAAATCTGAGTGGCTAACTGGATGTTGCAGAGTCTTCTGGTGCTGATCAGAATCTCATATTTACCTAGATTTCATAAAGGTGTGCATGCATATTGACTCAGGAGCTGAAGACGGTCTGCTCTCATCTCTAAAACCAAGTTTGCAGCCACTGAGTGTGAGGGGAGATGGAGGAAGAAAGAAACCGAAAACTTCATTTACATTTGAATGTGACATTTGTCCATGTCTCTTCTTCTGTTCTAACTCTTCAAAAACAAAATGATCTATATACCTTCCTGTGTACTGTGATTTAATGCAACTAAAAACTTATTCACCGGTTTCTGTTTTTAGAGATGAATGTGATTCTTTTCACATGTCCTGTACCAGATAAATTTAGGTTTAGGGTTCAGCAAATTTCAGTAATAAAAGTTATAATAACAGACTCTCAAACCTGGCTAGCAGTTCTGTGAGCCTGAAATGGTAACATCAACATGCTAATATGCTCACAATGACTGTGACTGCATTTAAATTCAATTAAGTAACCAATTTACAGTTGGCTTTCTCCAGTAATCTGATTTCTTGACTGTCAGGTAAATAAGAAACCTGGTTTCCATAATTGGGGTAGGGGATTTGAGAAACCTGAAGTCCCAAGGCAGATTTACGCTGAAGAACGCCAATTTCTCTGCCATGTATATGTGTAACTAGGTTTCTAATTGACTTATTAAAAGTGCACATGTGCATGACAAAGGGCTGTAGACAGGGAATAGAGAATGGAGAATGAGTTGCAGGATGGAAAGAGAGAGCATTATCTGAAGTCTGACTAAAACTGAAACCAAAGTGGCCTGTACAAGTCTAAATACTCCACCAGTGAACATATGAGTATTTGTTCAATTCAAACAGTTCCTGCTGTGAAAAGGAGCTCTGTTCTGTCTGCCTGCCTGATAGGGAGCAGTCTCCCTATCACTATATGGTAGCCAAGCTTCCACAGTAAGTCCAGGGTAGATGTAATACATGGATTTACAGAAATGCATTCTTTGATTATCTCCAACACCTGATGTCTCAGTAACTAGGTTAACATTCTGATGTTTTGGTGGTTTTAGTGGGTGTCCTTGATGTGCACGACATCTTCAGTTTGAGTCCGGCTGTGGACCTCTGTCACAAGTCTCCCCCTTCGATGTTGCTCAGACTACTTTCCTGTCTATCTACACTGTGCTGTCAATAAAGGATAAAAGTTTTAAATAACTTTTTAAACATGCTGAAATTTAACAGGCAATGCGTTAACTGGATATATGTTCCAAATGAATCCAACAGTTCTCATGACATTTCGCTACAAATGTCAAAATTAGGGTGGTGCCATAAGAAAAGAGAGAAGAAAAAGGATTTTAAATGAGATTGGTTAAAATCAGAGTTTACTGTATTTGAGGATTGTATCTACTAGACAACATTTCTGATAAGAAAATGCCAAAATGACATTTGCTGGATTTCTCCAGCGTAAAGTTTCTATGTCTGCACTCTGTGTATCGCGTGAGAGAGGATGAATAAACAGAGAGTGAACAACTGGGGACTGTTTAAAACAGAGGTGTGCATAGAGCAGCAGGGGCCTGTCTGTCAGCCTGTCGTTCACCATGAGGGAGGAGATAAGGGATCAACAGGAGGTGACAGAGCATGTGGCATATGACTCTGACAACCTGCCCCCTCACTTCCAGGGGCTTGTCATCCATACACACCCCCCAGTACAGTGAACTGGCTCTGTTCTATGATAAAATATGTTGGGGTCCTTCTCAGAGGGCTGTGTATCAAGTTTGGTCCTGCATGTGTGCCTGGGGTGAGGGTGTGCACTCCATTAGCCAGCTCTCCTCCTGGCCACCATATGCAGAGCTGTGAGCCCAAGCTGCCTCCATCTGTCGGGTTAATGCCCAGTCTCAGCCCCAAGCAGCTGGCCCTTACAAGCCTCATTATTCTAGCAGGACTCGTGCAGGAACATACAACAACACACACATATTAAGTGAGAGACCGACATGCTTGGTGGAGCCAAGCTCTATCACACGATGACAAAGTCACCAGTGGTTGGGAAGGTGTTTCTGAAACTCATTTAGGCTGAACAGGTGTCAGATGCATATTGCCTATATGAAAACATTATTTTAATAGTCAGCAGGCAACTGGGAACATACCCATCAACAGCTAGAAGATGGGAGGTGAATGCTGAAATTAAAAAGGCAAGACACAGACCTTATAAAATATGTTAAATACAAAGATTGAAGGAGCAGTGAGCAGAGTGAAAAAGGAGGGAGGGGGAATAAATGTACAGGTTGAAAGGTGTTAACCAAATGGTTTAAGGTAAAAGTTTACATGCACGCAGATTATTTTTTGAAGCAAGTGGGTGCGATTTGAGCAGAGCGGGATGCAACGCGAGTTGGGCGCTGAGCAATAATGAGCGCAGTGGCCTGGTGCAGCTTTGAGCTGGGGAGCAGAGCTGGTGAACAGCTCCATGAGCGAGGAGTGGAAATTCTTACCGCTCCACTCTGCTCATATACTCTGCCCACTGTTGGCCTTGATGACAGCTTTGCACAGTACCAGCAATATCCTAACCAATTCCTATTAGAGAAGCTATTCCTGGTGTAATAAACACTGTCACAAGGTCAGAGTCTGAGACTGGAGAAAAAAACCCCACTAACTCTCATTTGAGGCTTTTTCCTGGCCAAGACTTTGCCCTGACATGTCCCTGCTGTATTCACTTTGTGAACAGTAACTATAGAGGAAACATTCACACCAACAATCTGACATTAACAGCCTCTTTGTGCAGTGACTCCCCAGGTGTACACAGGTGAGTTTTAACCCGTCTATCTCTCTTCTTAGTCTTCACACTGTTATTTCTATAACTGTGTGTGTGTGAACAAATGAGAGCAATATTATAAATGCCTTCCAGGAGAATGTCTGAAGCTGTGCATCCCTATTCCCATATTTAAACAACTACCACATCTCGTTCCCTTCCGTGATGGCTGGTTTTTCACTGCACATTTGGGTGTAGCAGTGAAAAGCAACTATAAACACCTGCCTTCCGACTTGGTTAGATGACACATCTGACAATCCTGAGCCATCTCCAACTAATCCATGTTGTCTTTTCAGTACTGCCAGGCTCCAGCCATGGAAAACAGCCCTTGCTGAACAGCTGAAGGTGGAGTTTTGAATAAAAATGCAGTCTCATATTTTCAGTATCAGGACCTCTCTATGTGCGTTGCTGCTCATTACCGCTGGCAAAAAAATAAGCATCTGACCTTTTTTTTTTTTTACAGCTGGTTTAAACCCAGGTTAACATTCCCACCACTAAATGTTTACTTTATTTAGGACAGTGGTTAAACTGCTAACTAGAACTGTTATTCTAATACTGTTGATTCTTGGCAGCTTATCAGAAACAAGCATTTTCCATGGTCATGGTATAAGTGACCATCAGTCATAACTGTGTTTTTGACTCGCCTACAAAAAAGACATCTACCATGTAGGTGGTACAACTCTTGGACACAAGAATATAAATCAGGCTTCACATCCCCACCAGCCTGCGACTGTGACCTTAGAAGGAAATGAACATTCATCACAGTACAGACAAATCCAACAGATGCATGATGAAATATTTAGGGGAAAGAAAAGAACTGAAGTTGTGAAAGTCTCACCTTGGAGAGGCCTCCTACGTCCAGGTAGAAACAAATGATGAAGATGTTCCAGGCCACCCATAGAGCAGCCCATACTGTATACTGGAGGGCAAACACACAGGTTATCTCCATGGAAACTAGATGTACTGAACAGAACAAC